GAGGTGAATTGAAAGTTGTTGTTTTGAGACTTTTCTAGTTAAGCCTTTTGTTTTGTTAATCCTTGCCTGTTGCGCCTACGTGTTGTTTTGGAAGACTTGTGTTTTTTTTGGCTCAGTTCACGGATTTCCTTGTTACCGTGTTAGACATTTAGACAATTAGACAGTTTCACAGATGATCGTATTTGCGTTGGTAAAGCTGACCTTAAGTTTTACCCATACTGAAGTTCCTGTTTGTGTGCGCAATTCTTGTGCGCAGCTGTTAGCGTTCAATTGGTTTGTATGCGCAATTCTTGTGCGCAGCTGTTAACGTTTAATTGGTTCCTCGATGCTCGCCAAGTGACTTCGGTGAGGGCCAACCAGTTTCCCCCTTTTTGCAAAATAAACGGATACACTGTGGAAACTCTCACAGTCAGCTAACCCAAACACGTCTACGGTTTCCCTACTTAAAGCGTTAGTACCTCTCGCATGATATTTGGATGCGTAGAGCATAGATGCACAGAGTATCAGATGCATAAAGCGTTGCTGTAGTAGCTCTCCAGAAGAGAATAAAAGAAGAAATGTACAGAGTCTTGGCACCTCTCGTTAATTCGTCCGAGCGAGCAGTAAAACCCCCCAACAATAGTTTATTCAAACAACAACAAACATATGAAACATATGTGTGAACTGCGGTTATGAGACGTATATGAGCACGATCCTTCGCAGTAAAGCACTATTTGAGCAATAGTGAAAATCAGACCTGAAAAAAAAATAGTTTATTCCGAAGCGAACGAAAATAAGAGCCGCGGGCGATTCACCGAACAAGCATACAGGAGCTGGCTTCGCACCAACACGCTCCAAAGAGTGAATAGGTATATGAAAAAACAAAACAAAACGAATAAAACAGCTAGTGAAAGACTATAATGATAATTGGTTTGCCACACATAATATGAATTTGCCATGCATTTCACAGCTCATACTGTGAGCGCTTTGTTCAGTAAATAAAACGCTCTGGATTCAAAAACATTTTGCAATAACCCAGTAGTTAAGAACAAGTCTCACCGTTAGAATAACTCTCTTCGTCACCGGGAGGAAGTTTTGGTAGGTCCACGTCAAGTTACTGTTGGGTTGTTATTTTGTAATTTTCTGTTTCCCCCTCAGCAGTGTTACTGGCCAGTACAACTTGTGCTCAAATGAACCAAACCAAAATTTACTAACAAAGTCGTTGACAACGGGGAAGTCCGCTGAAATCTCCTAATTCGTTTCTAGTTTTTCCCGATAGGAACTCGTTTTCTATTTTGCTGAATTGGTTTCTATTCCACTTATGACTAACTAACTACCTAACAACCACTTTCAGGTCGCTCGACGTGATGTAGAACTTGCTATTGGTGATCGCACGGCGGAATCAGGTGCCGCGTGGCGTAGTCAGAAACAAGTTATCATGGAAGTAATCATTTCTGAAATATAATTGCAATATTAAATTGAATATTCATTTTCTCAAAGTGTCACTTAATGCAAAATTCAGTGAAAACTAAATTGAATCGATTTGGAAACCTGGCGACTTTTTTTTTTCTGTCAAAATGAAACGTTCTGTGATTGGTAGAGCTGTTCATGGCATATCATGGAGGAACAAATTTGACCTGCCCCCCCAAAATATAATTACTCCTGTTAATTATTTAGTTAATGAAAGTATTCTGTTTTTCACAAAGTTATACCTGGTGCATTGCTGTTCATATACAGTCAAATTAACTACCTGTACTGTGCTTTCTATAAAATTTAACCCATTAATGGCCGCAGCTTTTGTGGAAAACTGTGTTTTGAAGCTAGTCCAGCAGATTTCGGGTCACTGTTGTGGTTTTAAAAGCTCAAACTTACCAAAAACTCCCTGACAGCTCGTGCACTCGACGGCCTTTCATCCAAATGCAAAATGGCGGCCTGAAAATCTCGGGCACGCGCAGAAAGCAAAATTACCCTTAACGTCATGCCCCACTTACGACTTTTACTTTTCTCTCCTTCTCCTACCCTTTTTTTCCCCTCTCCTTGCCTGAAGTTTCTCCTCACTTGCTGGAAATTGAGTAGGCTTCATTTTGGTGTAGAGATTTTTCAGAAACTACTCATTATTTTCAAAGCATATGCTCGGAAAGGTAGGTGGGTAATGAAACACGATTTTCGTGCAGATTTTCAGGTCAAATTGACACGGTTTTTTGGCTATTCCTCCAATCTCCTTCACTCAATTGCGCTCATTCTGGTATCGTCTGTAAGATATATTCAACCTGTTCAAGTACGTCCTCAAATTCGTGCTCCAGGGTTAAAAGTGATGACGTCACAAGGGGTAGAAAGGGTATGGGTCCCCGTGGGCGCATATCGGCGCACTGGACGTCAATAGGTTAATAAACATGCAGAGTATAGGTATGAGCTGGTCTACACCTTTGGGGCAGATTAATTAACCATAGCACGTTAGCTGTTTATCACTATAGAAGATGGCAATACTCAAGGAGACCAATGACAGTAAACGAAGCCATACTTTTTAATAACTTCTCAGGGATTCTGGGGAAGCCCCAAAAACTACTTCATATAACATCTCCCTTTTTCTGTATCAATAAAACATGAGGGGCGAACGTGTAATGGAAATAGAATGTGAATTAAAATTATACAGAGCTGACTCAACATTGAAAGATCAAAATGTTGTTTTTTTCCTACTAGTTGTAATAACTCAACCAATGTTCAAAGTTCCTTGTATCTAGGTAACAAAGTCATCCAACCTGGAAGGACGCACGCTGGTTCTACCACTTCGAGTAACAACACTTTGTTGGGGTTGCGAAGTCACAATCGCTTCCACTGCAGTATACTTTGGTTGGGGACTTCCACGAATCTGTCTCGTAGTTAGTGCCTGATTCAAAGGAGGATCTGCCATGGCATCTGGTAATGACTTGGCTGATGACCCTGCACTGGGTGATGGCTGACTCGACGGATTTGTGCCACTGATATCTAACGAGGCCTGCTCTTGGCTAGGATCTTGACGAATAAACTTACGATTCCGTCTGTACAGGTTTCCGCTCTCTGTTTCAATAAGAAATGAGCGTGGCCCAACTTTTGCCACACATGAACCTTTCTCCCAGGGTGCTTTAGGATTTACAGGCTGAGGCCTTACTGGTTCTCCCACTTGGAGCTCGGGCAATGGTTTTGCATGTTTGTCATATGCTGCTTTGGCCTGCTGTCTTTTTCTGTTGATGTTGTCATACACTCCATCTATGACCTCTGGCTTCAGCAATGCTACATTTGTTGGAATGGTAGACCTAGTCCTTCGAGACATAAATTTTTGGACTAGGCTCAGTCCATTACTGTCAGGTGTGTTGCGCCACGCGAGCAAGGACATCTGGAGGTCTTTGTTACCTCGCTTTGCCTTCTTAACTAGATTCTTTGCAATTTTGACAGAAGACTTGGCTTTTCTATTGCTTTGGCTATGTAATGGTGAACTTGTAGTGTGCTGAAATTCCCATTCACGAGTAAACTTGGCAAAATGTGCACTGGAATACTGCGGCCCATTATCTGTAACTATGTCAGCAATGCCGTGACGTGCAAAGTGGCGTTTGGTTGCATTTACCACTGATTCTGCAGTAGTATCTGATAGGAGATCAAGCTCAAAGTAATCGCTGAAGTAATCAACAGTCACTAAATAGTTCTCGTCACCGAGGGTGAAGAGATCTTGTCCAACCTTTGACCAAGGGGTTTCAGGAATTTTGTGGGTCATCAACGGTTCTTTTTGTTGTCTAGCTAAGAAGTCGTTGCAAACTTCACAATTCTGCACTTGATCTTTGATCTGGTCTGCAATGCTTGGCCAGAATAACACATCACGTGCTCGACGTACACAAGCATCAGGCCCAAGGTGGCTGGAATGAGCTCTTGCAATCATTTGAGGTCTCATAGAAGCAGGAACAAGCACTTTCATTCCTTTGTACAAGACTCTGTCTTGAACTGTTAACTCTTCTTTGTAGTTCCAATACTCGTGGATACAAACTGGAATTTCCTCTTTAGCAAGCGGCCAACCTCTCATAATCATGTTCATAAGACTTTGCAATGTGGCATCTGTGATTGTGCATTGTTTGATCTGCTGATGGGTGCCTTCTGATAGGCGCATGTAATCAACTTGATTGATATTGGCAATCTCTTGAAACAACAATTGCTCATAGCTGAGCTGAAAGATCTGATACTCTGGGATGTTTTCATGGTGGCTGTGATCAGCTTGGAGGTAAGCTCTACTTAGCATATCAGCAATGTACATCTGTGATCCAGGAAGGTACTTAACATGAAGATTGTACTTCTGTAATCGAAGGAGCATCCGTTGCAGTCGTTTTGGTGCGGAGTGTAGCGACTTCTGAAATATTGGGACCAGTGGCTTGTGATCTGTCTCCACTGTCGTTAATTCTCTTCCGTGCAGATACTTTGCTTCCAAGACAGTAAATACTTTAGCCTTGGCTAGCTTTGGCAGAACTTCATCGACTATAGGCATTTGGTACTTTGGCCTCTTGATAGCTCGATTTAGATCTCGAGGGTCTATGCATACTCTTAACTTTCCTGGTTTCTGCACTGCTACCAAGCTGCTTATCCAATCGGTCGGCTTGTTTTCTTGGAGGATAATCCCTTGCTTATCCATCTCATCGGTCTTTTCTTTAAGCTTTGCTTTGAGTGGTACTGGCACAAGTCGGGGAGTATGCTGAACTGGTCTGATGTCTGGATCGATCTCTATGTGATACTTCCCGGAAGGCAACCCAGGCCAGTGAACACATCTTCAAAATCTCTCATGAGTTTGTCAAATGAAAGGGGTTCGTAATTTTCACTGTTTAATGAGTGAATGGACTGGTCTGGTCCTAAACATATTCAACCTTGCTTGATGCACGTGTTGCCGTCCATGATAGGCCAAGGAGCATTTTCCAAGATGTCAAAGGATATCTCGCATTTGGAGCCAGCCACTGTTCAAGCTGACTGTGAAGGTATAAGATCCCAATGGCTCAACCACACGTCCA